TAGCTCTTGCTTATCTGTGATATTTGGGATAAAAAAAACTATCAAGATATCAAATGTGGGGGCCGGCCCGTGGCTCACTCGGGAGAGTGCGGTGCTGATAACACCAAGGCCACGGGTTCAGATCCCATATAGGGATGGCCGGTTTGCTCACTGGGTGAGCGTGGTGCTGACAACACCAAGTCAAGGGTTAAGATCCCCTTACCGGTCATCTTTTAAGAAAAAAAAAAAAAAAGATATCAAATGTGAAACCCACAGTTATTTCCAAACCCCTTTCTGTTACATGACCTCCAAACCTATTGTTTCACCAGATCTGTCACTGAAGCTGTTTATAAGCAGCCACACCATTTGAGTTTGGCTCCTTTTCTTTTCCCTTGTCCTCCCTCTGCTGGAGGTGTTAATGAGTGAAATGCCCATCATGGGCTGCTGAAGGAAACTCCAAGGGTGTGCATTCTCCACAACTACACCATAGCTTTTGGAATGGAGAATGATGGCTGTTGGCTACCACTTTCCAGATGCCTCGAGGGCACTACACCGACTTTGGTTTACTCAGACTGCATGTAAATGAGAGCTCAAACATTTACGAAAATGGCAGGGTTCTTCAAAAAGTTCATGAAAAGGTTCGTATTATCTTTCAATTCTATTTTTCCACGAATTTTTTGAAGTACCTCCTATTGTTATTGTTCATGCCTTCAGAAAGGAATAGACCTAATTTTTAACTCAGTTAATACGTTCCTAATAAGTATCAGTAAAATGCCACAAAGAGTAGGATTCCTGTTGAGGAAATAGGACAAACTCCTGCTTCATAGTAATATTTTAATTGAATAATGTTTTCGGATTTTTAAAGCTCCTTGACATCTATTATCTCCCTTGATGCTCTCAACAGCCCAGCAAGATAGGGAAGGTGCTGTCACATTCAGAGGCCCCAGTAGAGGACCAGGACCCAGGTTTACCAAATCTTAGTTCTGTGCTCTTTGCGATTCACCCTCCAGATAGCCTAATGCTCGTAAGATACATATGAGAGCAATACACATAATATACATACAATCATAATGGTTCTTAAAACGTTCCCAAATTTTGGAACATCGTAATGATACCTATCCCAAGGGTAGGATTAAATTGGTACTCATAGACCACAATAATTAGCATGTAATAAGTTAAGTAACTGTTAGCTATTATTATTGCTATTGTTCTTGTTATTATTACTAAAAACCCTGTTAGAGGTAGTATAGAGTCTTGTATAAAAGACTGAGCTCTGGAGCCAGACCCCCTGGGCTTGAATGCCAGCTCCACCACATACCTATCTCCTTAAACTGTGTGAAAAGCCCATAGAAGAGTACTTAGCATGAGCAGGTCTACATAAATGGCAGTCACTATTATTACTTGATAGCTGTAGTTCTTATACAGAGTAATAATTGGCCCTAAATTACATGGTAAATGATGGAGTTGGACTGTAATCTTAATCCTTACATTTTACGACCTCTTATAGGAATATTGCTTTCTCTAGGTTGTTATTTTTCCATAGTTCTTTAAAATGTGATTTACTTCCTTTTAACATCTTCTTTCATGGCCAATAAAAGGGTATTTCAAAAAGTTCATGGAAAAATAGAATTAAAAGATAATATGAATCTTTCCATGAATTGTTTAAGTACTTCGTATTTTACTCTCCTTTACCAAACTGAAAATCTTTTTTAAAATCACCATTTATAAAAATTTTAACCAGTGCATATTTGCATTTGTAAGAAGCTGGTTTGTATTTTAAGTTGCTTTCCTTTCCGGACATATTCTGTAAACCCACTAACGGTAAGCTACCCAAACCCTGGCATTTCTTTTCATTTCTTGCTAATTTACTCAACAGTATCTGGAACTGGATACTACTATAGCCCAGTGGGCTATTCAGTAAATTACCAACTGACTGGCAGGTCCTCCCTGTATTCTATTCTATGTTATTTTTTGTTGGTTATTGGTTGACTAGTTTGGTCAGGGGCTGTCATGAACATGCACATTTCATGACCATATAAAAATGATCTAGTCAACGTCTTTCCTCTAACTGAAGCTGAGGATTTAGTTGTATATTCTGTTTGGCGCCTTCCACTCTAAGGAAGATCTAAAAACTAAGGCACAGGTACTCAGGCTCCAGGAGTGTTTTTAGCTTTTTCCCCCATCAAGAAGCAAAACCCTAGGCGGTGGGCGGGGAGCGGGGAAGGAGGGGTGTCTCTTAGTCTTTAGGGGATAGTGTAGTAAGATAGAAGGAAAGGTAAGCAGACCCCTTAACTTCTCTAAGGTTTTATTCCTCTTATTTTCTTTCCCTCAGGATGGTGGTGACAGATGATCAGACACAATAGTTGGCAGTATCCCGCCGAAGGGAGGATAAAAATGACCCTCAACAGCACCTGCAGGAGGACTGGGAAAGGGAGGAGGGATGCATATGGGAGGGGGCGAGGACGAGGGTGACGCGTTAGCCCGGTGAAGATGCGAGCCTTGAGCCACCTCCCGTGAGGGGGGACGGAATGCAAAGGGGAGCCCGAGGGACGGTGGCTTTCCTCCTGGGGGCGGGCCAAAGGGTGGAGGGACGCCTGAGTCAGCAGCCCCTGATTGGCTCGTGTTCTCTCGTCGCGTCTCCCGATTGGGCAATTTGCAGCGGGAGATGTTGTGAGGCGCGGCGGGGCGGGGCGAGCCGCCCGGGGTCTGTGACCAGGCCCAGGAGTCGCGTGGGGAGGGGCGGCGGTTGGGCTCGGGGCCTGGAGGCGCTGCGACCCGGAGTGCGGCGCCGAAGCGCAGCCACCTCTTCCCAGTTCCGCTAGCCGCGCCGAATTTGTTCTGCCGCTCTGTCGATTTAAAAAAGGAAAGAATTGAATGAACAACACTTCGCTGCTCACTCCCCCCTCCGCCAGGGGAAGATATTTTGCAATCGGGCGTGAGCGGACACTCCCTTATCTGGAAGTCCCATATCGCGTCGCAGCTTCGTTTTCCTCCCGCTGCAAAAAAGGGGCCACGGTTCACCAAGACATGTCCCCCGCAGTCTAGGACCTCTGATACCCCGATTCCACACACCTAGCTGTAGGATTGTCCCCCCCGTCCGCCCCTCACGCCGGGCACCAACTCTCTTCCCCAGGAGAAATCCCCGTTCCTGGCCGCACCCGCTCAGCGCTCGGGAGATTGAAGAAGGAGGGGAGGGTTTTGTGTGCCCAGTTTTGGAGTGAGGGCTTGGAGGTCCCGAGACACGTTAGGAGGGGGGCGGCGAGCACCCCTCCCTCCCCTCGCCCCCGGCTAATCCCCCTGCTCCGGCGTCGCTTCCCCGGGACCGTATTATTCAAGACAGAAAATATTCAGCCCCAGAGCCTCCCCTGGGGAGGGGAGGGGAAGGAGGTGGAGTGGGAGGAGGTGGATCCAGGGAGGAAGAAGCGAGAAATCCGCCCCCGGGGAACAGCTCCGCGCGGCAGCGGAGCCAGGCGTTTCTGTCACTTGGCGATCTCGGGAGCCGGAGCGGGGCCCGGGCCGGGCCCGGCG